TTCCAACGGTCCTGTGCAGTTTTTGGGGATTGGGTGCTGTTAGGTCCTGGCTTTGGGCTGGTGTCTGGGTCCAAACTGGGGTCTGTGAGAGCTGGTAAGTCACCCCCAGGCCTTTGGGCTGAGCATGCCTTTGGGATCCCAGGATAGCTTGTCTTTGTCTCACCCCTGTGTCCCTGCGGGGCTGAGGACGGGGACAGGAAACGACTGGTCTCTGGCCTGGTTCCAGAGACCTTAGCTTCTGAGATAGGTGGATGAATCCCCAAGGTTTCATGTCGCCTCCTGGTGGCTGGAGAGGGCCCACGCTCTGGGGCAATGTGTACCTAATCCTTGCAACAGCCCTTGGAGGAGGTGGTGATTGCTGAGTTATGACAGCTTCAGTGGCTGGTCCCAGGTCTCAAGGCCAATCAGTGGCTGAGTCCAAGTGGCCTCCAGTTCTCCCTTCCCCTGAGCCTCTAGGGAGTTTGGACCCTGGGACTCTCCCTGCCCCCAAATCCACTCTGTTGACTGTGGGCAGCTGCCGGAACTGAAGCTGGAGGCGGAGCTGGCCACCTCGCCCACGTGTTCACTCCTTCGTGGAGACCCTGACAGGTCCGTGGTCCCAGACATGTTGAGAGATTGGTGTATGTTTGTTAAGCCCCTCGGTTGCAAGGAGCAGAGACCCACGTTGCAGCATGGAGAGTGAGGGTGGGTCTGAGTCTCAGGGGTGGCAGTGGTGGGCTGTTGTGCCACTGGACACATGAGACGCAACTCAGCCACACTCTGTCACTCAGGGCTCCTCCCTGGATCCACCTGCCCCCCACCTTCCTCCCATCACCCTGGCTTCCCCTCCTGGCTCTGCTGCTCGTGCCCCTGGTCGCCATTGCCCTGGGCTGCCCGATTCTGTGTCACGCTCTTCCGTCTGTAGGTGACTCTCCAGGCATTTTCCAGTTCTGAAGCCTGGTCCACCTTTAGGCCCAGACCCCTTGATGCCCGCAGGAGTCCCGCCCTTCAGCTGGGGGCTGTCCCTTAGTGGGCGTGGCGGGTGCCAATCTCCAGAGGCCCAGCTTGGCCTCCTGTCCCTCTCTCCCCTCCCCGCACCCCGGGCACCCAAAACAAGCTTTTGTCTTGGGACCCTCCCCACTATGGTGCCCTCTAGGATCTCTTGAGGTTCTTTCCCCAAAGTCCTATCAAGAGTGAAAGAGCAGGTCCTTCCCCGCCTGCCCCCAGCTGTGGCTTTCTGTGGACTCGGCCCCTCCTGCCCCCTGAACCAGCCTGGGGTGAGGCTCAGGCCCTGCCTGTCCTCCAACTGCTCAGTCTTGGCACCTGAAGTCAGTGCCACTGAGGTCAGCTCTAAGCACCCGTGGGAGTCTGGGAGAGGCCCTGACTTGGGGCAGTCTTGCCAGAACGTCCTGTGCCTGTGCTGGGGATGGGGACCCTGGGGTCCCCTGCTGCTGTTCTCTCTGCCCAAGGGACAGAGACTTATCTCAGGTTCCCCTCTTCCCACCACCACTAGGCAAAGAAAACAAAGACAGGCAGGCAGGAGCTCCTTGGTATCAGGAAGGGAAAGAACCTCCTTACTCCAGAAATTTCTAGAATGGCCCTAACCCGGAGGGGGGAGCAGTCTATCAGGGTGGAGGGGCAGAAAGATGGACAGTCCGGGAGTTGGAAGGATGGGCCTCAGTCTTGCCATGTGACTGTGGGCCTTGGTCTTTCTCTCTGCGCGAGGAGGCTAAGAGCTCCTGTCATTGAAGGGCTTGGTTGTAAGAGGAAAGATTCCTGGACCTGGCCATGGACTCAGTTTACCCATCTGTAAGAGACGGGCACCTCAGTCTCCGTTTCATCATCTTGTGCTTGTGATGTTGAACTTAGCACCTGGGCCCGATCTGAGGCCCCAGCAGCAACCCCAGGAGAGTCCCAACAGCCCCCGGGGGTGGTTGAGATTCCAGGCACCCTGGCTCCGTGACAGGTGGTCCTCGCAGGGATACATCAGGAGATTCCATCTCGGGCCTATCAAGGACAGGGACTTGGGGAGGAAGTTTCCAGACCTGCCCTGGCCACACAGGCCCCCAGGGGAGGGAGCACCAGCCCAGCCAGTGTGGGGCTCTTCTGGGTGGCCGCCGCCCTTCTGGAGGCGGATATGGAGCCGAGGGGCCTGGTGCTGTCCCCTCCCCACACATCCTCCTGCGTGAGCTTTGAGCTTGGTGGGAGGCAGGAGAGTGGACGAGGTGGGTCCCAAGCCACTTCCCTTGTCCTTGCTGCCTAAGGCCTCCGCCATGGGGGGAGACCGGTGGGGTGGTTATGGGCTCGTCTTCCCACACCCAATTCTCTTGGCTCCTTCACTGTAGGGGCCCAGCAGCCTCTGAGGTCGGGAGCCCCCATGATGGGACCGAAACCAAGGGTGGTCCCGAGTGAAGGTCCGCTGTTTGGGTGGGCAGCACCCCTGGGTGAGGCCTGTGGCTGCTGCTGAGGGAGGCTCCTCATCCGTTGGCAGGAACCCACTCTGCCTCAGTGATGCTCTCACTCCCAAGAGGGGACAGGGCCTGAGGCCCTCCCAGCCTCCAGGTCCTGTTGAACTAATTGAGGGGTGACATGTTGGAAGCCAGTAGGCCCTAGGTCCTGGAAGGACTGGGAGCAAGGCCACTCCAAATGTGGGCAGAGGGGCAGCCCTGACCCACTAGGTGAGCTGGAGAGACACCCTGGGGGAGAAGGGGAGCCATCTCCCACCAGCACTGGGTTCTGCCTTCTGGAAGCTTCTGGACACCCTGGGGCCCCAAGCATGCTGAGCAAGGGTGAGCAAGGTCCTGGGGCTCAGCTGGCAGCAGACAGACAAAAGATGGAAGGGCCAGGGCAGGCTGGGATACCTCGTCTTCGGGCACCTTTCCAGACAAGATCCCTGCCCCTGCCCCTTTGCCCTGGGGTCTTCCCTGAGGGGTGGCCATAAGCGGACGGCCGAAGGACATGACTCTACAGAGGCTCAGGGGCTGCAGCTGACAAGACCAGGCCAGGGAGTGGTCCCCACCTTGCGGGGGCATGGAGCTGCCTTCTGTTTTCCCACCTGTGTGTGCGCGCGTGTGCGCGTGTGCGTGCGCACATCGCAGGTGTGGGGGGAGGGGCACAGCCCTGCCCTGAGGTGCCTGGAAGCAGCGACACAGGCACAGGTGAAACCAGAGACCATCTGAGCGTGGCCCAAGGTTGGAGCAGCTGATGGGGACCTGGCTAGGCAGCGGATGGCTCCTGCCTGCTCCCACACCTCTGCCGCACCGCACTGTGCTTCCCCGTGAGTGGGGGATTCCGGCTCAGTCCGAGAGGAGTGAGGAGGCCCTGCCACTGCCCTAGAGGAGCGTCGCTGGACACCAGATTGTGAGGCTGGTGAGGGAAGCACAGGGGTGTTGTGGCCAGAGTTGGGCCCTGGAGACCTACCGACTGGAGTCGGAGTCCTGATACTGCCCCCTCCTGGCTGTGTGTTGCAGGCAGGGTCTCCAAGCCTCAGTGTTTCATCCGTGAAATGGGGACAACATCTACCATACAGGGTTCAGAAAACGGTGAAATGAGAAGATGCTTTGAGGTGCCCAGCACGGCCCCTGCAGCCTGCCCCGTGGGGCAGAAAACTGGCCTGGGAAAGGCGTCCCCTGGCAAGGAGCCCCCGCACGTTCCTCCTTCCCCAACCCTGGGGGATCCCGGTGTGCATTTCTGGCACGGCTGGAGGCTTGGGGGGCATCCGCTCATTCGTTCCTTTATTCACTCTTTAGTCCGTTCTCGCACCAATGTGCCTCTGGCCTGGCCCCGTGTGGGAGCGGGGACATGGGGCAACGGGAACTTGCAGGCTGACAGGGTGGGAGGAGACAGTGCGTAGCGGTGACCACGGGTGAGAGTTTCACTAGTGCCTCCGGCCTGGCCCTGGACCCCTGAAGGAGGGTCGCTGTCCTGGCTCTGGGAGGCCGAGTGCAGTTTGGTGGGCATGAGGGTAGGGGGCACCGCAGGCAGAGGGCGTGGCGGGCGTGTGGCTGGGGTGTGGAGAGGCGTGGGGAGGGGCCTCCGTGTGAGCCTGAGGAGCTGAGACCACTGCTCGTGCAGAGCCAGGGGAGGTCTCGACCGCGGGTGAGGGTCAGTTCCCAGCTCTGCAGCTGGACGGGTGGCAGCGGGCAGGGAGGAGGCAGCATGGGGCGGGGTCGACAGGGCCGGCCCCTTCCCCTAGGCCTGGGCCCTCTCCTCTTCACCGCCATGAGGGAGTGTCGGGGCGATGGCACACCAGCGCCTCCTGCCAGCCAAGCCGCCCGTTGCCCCATCGGTGTTGAAGGGGGCTCCTCAGACAGCGAGGGGGCAGGAGGGACAGCCAGGTGGGAGAGTGAGGGCCCAGAGGGCAGCCACTGGCCCCCTGAGATGAGGCCTTTGTGCTTCCCCTGCCCTCTCCAGAGGACAGAAGAAGCCTCCTCCTCCTCCTCCTCCTCCTCCTCTGACCCGTGGCGGGCTTCCCGGGAGGCTAGAGCTGTGTGGAATGCAGGACGGGGCGCCCCCGTGTGCGGTGTGTGGCTTTCTTTACTGTCCTGTTCAGGAAGCACATGGGAGTGTGTCTCAGGGTGTGGAGTGACCCTGACCCTTGCCCTGTGTCCATCCTGAGGACTCAGGCTCTCGGGGGCCCAGGAGTCAGCTCCCGGAGCACAGGATGGTGGGCAGTGACAGCCTGTCGGCCAGCAGAGGGCTTCAGTGGTAGAGTGTGGGGCTGGGGCGGGCTCCCGACAACGGCCGTCACACCCCGGATCCCCCCTCACAAAGGGCTACCCGCTCCCTTCCCCTTGGCCTCTCCGGAGGTGGACCCGTGGGTAGCTAGCTGGGCCACTTGTGCCTCGAATGGTGGAGTGAAGGTCAGAGAACAAAGCCCACATTGTCAGCCGGAGACCCAGCCCTGAGTCTCCACTCTCCCGGACATATGCTGCGTGACCCTGGGCCAGTCCTATCCTTCTCTGGGCCTCTGCCGCCCCCCTCTATCAGCTGATGCTGACGAGGGTGGGTGTCCAGGCCACCCTGGAGGGAGGGAGGAGTGGTTCCAGGCCTGATCCACTCACTGGTTCTGCGCATCTTGGATGGTGTCGGGCAGGGGCAGATTCCGGGTCTCGGGCAGCAGCAGCGTGGCCAGGCCACTCAGCACTGGCACCGTCCCATACACCAGCAGGGGTAGCAAGGGCCCGTGCGTGCTCAGCAGCCGGACCAGAGGCCCCAGGAAGGCTCCTCCGCGGGATGCCATCTGGCCCAGGCCCACAGCCCTCATCCTGTGGGTGCAGATGCTCCTGTGAGCACTGGGAGGCCCAGGGGGTCAGGCAGCCCTGAGACCACACGGAAGGGAGATGCGTGACATGAACATCAGGGTCTGGGGAAGCCACGCCCACCCGGCGTCCCGGCCCAGAGCACCCCTCTCCTGGGGCCCAGGCACAGCCTCACCTGAGCACCGTGGGGAAGAGCTCGCCATTGTAGATGGTGATGCAGGTGAAGGCGGACCCCATGCACCCCAGCCCCATCACGGCCAGGGCTGAACGTAAGGCCCCCAGCTCTGTGGATAGGCATGGGGTTGGCGGGGCAGGTGGGGGCCCAGGGCTAGACGGGGGCTCCCTTCAGCCTAGGGGCTTCTCTCCAGTGTTTGTGAGTCATCTCCACCTGGGTGTTCCAGGCCCCACATGTGCATCGTCTTAAATGACCTCATGCCCCTCATCTGCTCCTACCCAGATGCCCTCAACCCCGTGTCCCTCCCTTGCAATCCGTCCCTCAGTTCTCATCGTATCTCCACACCCTTTCCCGATGCTGCCCCCTCCACTCTGACCCGCTGCCCTCGCGCAGGGACCGCCATCTCTCCCTACCGGCCCCGGCAGCCTCCTTCCCAACTGGGCCCTGCTCTGGTCCAGCAGCCTCTGAGGAGGGGCCAGGGGTCTCTGTCCCCGGCTCAAGCCCCCCAGCTAAGGGAGCCGGGCGCTTGCTTACCGTGGGGCACCAGCGTGTTGGCCAGGATGCAGGCCCCCGACAGCACCAGCGACAGGGCCTGCAAGGGGCGGCGGCCCAGGCAGCCCAGCAGCAGCAGGGCGCCTGCCTTGGCTGGGATGTCCACCACCCCAATGAGCACCTGGAGCAGGAAGATGTTGCTGCCCAGGCCCTGCAAGTCCATGGCCAGGCCGTAGAACGTGAAGCCAAAGGCGAACCTGGGGGCGGCGGGCAGGGGATCAGGGTGGGGAGCGGGCTGCTCACTTGCTTGTTGCTTCTCAGATCGGATTCCCTGGCCCTTCTGCTGCTGGCTCTGTGTGGTGGGGGAGGCTCTCTCAGGTCCCCTCGCCAACGTGGCTTCCCGCTGGGTTTGGTCGATGGGAGGCACTGGCGAGAGGCCAGGGCGGGAGGCGGGGAGAAGCCAGGGTGTTTCTCCCTCCCTCTCTGTTTGGGGGCTGTGTCTGGGAGTGACTATGTCCCCTCCATGGCTCCAGCTGCCACTGAACAGGCCCTCCCTCCAGGGCGGGGGTGGGGAACCGGCAGGAGAGCCAGCAGAAGCCCAGGCCTGGCAGCCAGCCGATTCCAGGTCCCCGGCTGCCAGCAGCCCAGGGCAACCAGAGGTGGAGGCTGTGGCCTGGGCGGGGCAGGGCTGGAGGGCACGTACCAGCACAGTGTGGAGACGCAGGTCCGCAGGCGCAATCCGGGCGTGCAGAACAGGGTGCCCAGGCTGGAAGGAGCCTGGTCCACACTCGAGTCCTCCTGCATGGCTGAGAGCAGGACCTGTGGGGTGGGGGCGGCTGTTGGCACTGAGGGTGTCAGGCAGCCCTCCTCCCTGAGACCCTCTTACCAGGGGACCCTGAGCGTCCAAGGGGCCAGGCCTGGGGAAAGGCCCAGTCCCACCTTACCTCGATGGTCAGGGTGTCCCCTGCTGCCCTCTTCCCGTTGATGGCAGCCACCCTCCGAAGCTCATGTAGGCCACGGTCAGGCCTGCCAGTGGAGAGGAGCCATTGTGCCGACTCTGCCAGCCACCTGCCATGGAGGGGGCATGGGATGGCCACTGCCTGTGGCCCCTAAGGCCTGGTCTGCACCAGCCTCACTGCCCTCTGTCCTCTCTGCCCACAGGGGTAGCCTCCCTGGTGCCCACAGGCCCCAGGCTCAGGGAGGCTGAGGTCTGTGGATGGGCAGTCAAGGGTGCTGTGGCCTGTGGCAGCCACTCTGTTGTCCCCTTCTGCCTCCCTCCCCACACCACAGCCCTTGCCCTGCCTCACCAGGAAGCGGGCCCATGTGGGCCTGGGTGCAGTAAGAACCCCCACTGGCTGCAGTACCACAGTCTGCAAGGCTTCCAGGTCCCCTGCTATGCTGGGGCTTGCAAAACAGGGGTCCAGTGTCAGTGTAGGAGAACCAGGAGGGGTGCCCTGGAATCCACATCCCTGACCTTTACCCTCCATCCTCCACCCTCTTGGTGATGGGGGCCAATCTGCCATGCCAGAAGGCCACTGGCGGGCACGATGGCCTCCCTGCAGAGCCACTGCCTAAGATGTACTCATCTCCTGCTCTGAGGAGTATCTGTGAATTAATTGTTCCTCCTCTCCAAGCTGTTGGGTTGGGAGTGATTTGTGAAGTCAGCCTTCCTCCTGGCGCGGGTGCAGGCGCCTGCCCTTCGCTGGGCCTCGGCTGTGCTTTCTGCAGCGGCCACGATGGCCGAGCAGCTACTGAGTGCAGGGCCCGTGTGTGCAGCGAGCCAAGCTCAGCCGGCCTTCTGTGGGATGGATGGATCCAACTCACTCATCATCCATCCACCCATCCACCCATCACCCATCCACCCATCCAACAAATAGTTTCTGTGTGCCCACTGGTGCTTGGCAAGGGCCATGCTTGATTTATTTCAGGGCAGTGCAGACATTTCCCAACCTCCTATACCTGCCAGCCCTGCGTGGGGACTGTGGAGTCCCCTCTGATGACTGGGCCCTGCCCCCTCTTCTCTAGAAGACAGACACATGCATCAGTAATGTCTGTCTATGAGGCAGACTGCGGCTGTGCTGTGTCTGTGTGTGTGTGTTTGTGTGTGTGTGTATGCGTGTGTGTGTGTGTGCGTGTGTGTGGTATCTTTGTATCCCACGCCCAGCCTGGCCTAGTGCTGCCATGCCTGGCACAGAGGGGGGCGCTCAGAAAATGAGCCTGCAGCACGCTGCCAAGGCAGGCAGGGACAGGCCGGAATGGACCAGGAAGTGATGGGAACGAGGAGGGAGGGGGAAGGCTGAGTAGGAGAGGGAGGCACCTGGGAGGAGCAGGGGAAGCCTCCTGGGCACCTGAGCCCCAGGTGGAGTGTTCTGAGCCCCCGTGCCAGGCCCCTCCCAGCTCTCCTCCAGCCCACGAACCCCCGGCCAGCAGCGCACCCAGCGCTCTGTCCCAGGGAAAGGAGAGTCTTCCGTTCTCCCGGGTGGAGAGTGAGCAGGGTCTCCTCCCAGGAGCGGCGCGGGGCGTGGCACCCACCATGAATACACAAAGCAGAGGAAGAAGGGGGCCGAGATCAACAGCTGCAGCATCGAACAGTCCCGCACGCCATAGGCCACTGCAGACAGCAGGACCTGGCCTACGCTGAAGCCCAGAGAGTTCAAGGTCATCACCGAGGCTCGGGCCTGTGCCGACGTCCACTCTATCACTGCAAGAAGACTGAGGGGGTCACCCTGGAGCCCGCATAGAGCACCCCCCTGCATGGCACCAGGTCGGGGACCTACAGAGGGTGCTTGTGTTCATCATGACGCTCGAGAGGGCACAGGCCACCAGGAAACGGAACAGGCAGTACAGGGGGAAGGTGGGGACCAAGGCGGCCACTGTACCCGACATGGCCATCTGAAGGTAGCTCCAGGTCAGCACCAGCCTGCGCCCGAACCTGTGGCACACACGCCGGGAGGGGAGGGGTTTGTGGCTTGCCGTGGCACCGGCCGTGAGGGTCTGAACCACCAAGAGCCCGCCCTGTGGTTGCCCACTGACCTGCAGGGGACACTGAAGGCCACTCAGGGCCAGACCCACATTCTCCACCCAGGGAAGGCTCGTGAGCATAAGGAGAGTCCCTGAGGTCGGAGCCCAAGGCATGCTCAGCCGGGCGTGAGTCCCTGTCACCGGGCGCACTCAGCCAGCAGCTAAAGGCAGGGGTGAGGCCCAGCAGGACTTAGCGGTGATGTTTGGTGGGAAGCAGTGATTTTCTACAGACCACAGAGTACAGAGTAGACTTGGTCAACCCCAGGCTCAGAGAGGGTGTGAGACTTGTTTAGGTGGCACGGCTGCTGGCAGGTCAAAGACCCACACCTGGCAAGTAGGGAACTTTCTAGACCTGGCCGCGAGAGGCCAGTCTGGGGTCAGTAAGGGCCAGGGGCCTAGGAGAGTGGGGGCAGCGAGGGGCAAGGGGACCTGCCCGGACCCAGGGTACCCACCTGTCTGAGGCTGGGCCACTGAGGGTAGCTCCCACCATCATCCCGGCCAGGTAAATGGACTGGGCCATGGGCTTCAGGACCTGAGAGTCACACACCAGGTCCCACTGGTGGGAGAGGAGGGGGCTGAGCTCAGCAGGCCGTGACAGCCCCAGGGTAGGGAAGGAGGAGCCAGATGGGCGGCCCCCAGGGAGCTGGGTGTGGGTGGCTGGCCTAGTGACCCCTAGGGTCGTAGAGCAGGGCCCCATGGAACAGTGAGGGCACCTATGGGCATAGCTTGGCCTTGTGAGGAGCATCCTGTCACCCCTTACCTAGGGGCTTCCATGGCTCCCTATTGCCAAGAGGGTCCCCCTTCCCCCGCTCCACTGGGCAGCAGCCACCTGAGCTGACACTCGGCCCCTCCCCCAGAGGCTGCTTCCCTCCTGTTCTTTACAAAGAGGCCCGGACTTGACCGATGCCTGTCTGTGAAACAGCCTCGTGCTGCCCTGTACCTTGTGTGCTTCAGCCTTGTGGAATGCAGTGACTTGTCACTGAGTCCCCCTGTGACTGAGTTGCCTGGAGTCACAGCCAAGCAGTGTGAGCAGGGCCAGGACTGAGTAAGGCCAGAGAGGCATCCAGGTGCCAATGTCCAGAGGGGCCCACTCGGGTGCCCCTGGCACTTCCAGGAGCCTGGGGGCCATCCTTGCCCGTAGACTGACTCCTGCTACCCACTCCCCTGCAGGACCACGTGGCCAACGAGGGCTGAGAGCCTGCCGAGAGTGAGTGAGGCCTGGGGAGCTGGGTCCCTCCCAAGATGGGCCCATTTTGAGTTCAGCCAACTGTGATCTGTGACTCTGCCCTGCAAGGTGCCAGGAGCTGGGGCGGGGGTGGGGGTGGCCCTCACCTTGGTCACGATGGTGGCGGTGAAGGTGCTGTGGTCGTAGACCCAGCCATCCAGGCACGGCTCCGTGGCCGCCTCGCTCCAGTTGGTGGCTGTGGCGTTGGGGTCCAGGAGCTGCCACTGTGGTTGGCGGAAGCGGCGACACTGGTGGGGCCCCTGGTTGGGGCCGGGTGGGATGGAGACGGCCAGGAGGGTCTCGGGGTCCAGGACACTGACCTGGGAGGTGCCGTTATCCAGGAGGGACACCCAGCAGCGGTGGCTGGGCACGGCCGCCGCGAAGTTCTCCAGCATGGTCTGAGAAACGAGCCACATGATAGGGAGCACCAGAGCCACCGTCTGGAGAGCCTGGTACCTGCCCAGGCCGCCCACTCTGTCCAGGAGTTCAGAAAATGCCATGGAGCCCGCCCGAGGGGCCCAGAGGAGGTGCCCACTTCACAGGGGCTGGCCCAGGGCAAAGGGGCCGACACGACGGGCCGGCTCGCCCCACGGCAGCGTCCCCCGCTGGGCAGCCAGGAGCACGTCAGGGCCCACCGGCTCCGAAGACTCGGGCTCTCTGGGCATCTGCCCACTGGCTGTCACTTGGGGTGGCTCCAACTGGGACCTGAGGCCTTGTGGTGTGATCCTGAGGCCACCAACATTCCTCCAGAGACGCAGCTGCTCCAAACCTCCAGGAAAAGCTAAATTTGGAACACGGGGAAGGTGGAGACTGAAGTCACCAGGACTGGAATTAAAGTGTCACCAGGTGACACTTACGGAGTAGGGTTTAGTAATCATTTCCTTGGTCAAAGTTTAACTCGGCCTTGAGGGAGGCACCAATGCGAAAGAACAGCGATGCTCCGGCCCTGCAGGGGCTGCCCCGGCCTGGTCTTTGACAGATCTGGGGGGCACCTGGGCTGAGCTCACTGGGGTACCTGCCCACCCCTCCTGGTGCCCCGCCCACTCACAGGGTGACCAGGAGAAAGCAGACCGGCACACCCCTGATCCCGGGGCTGGGGCAGCTGTGCGACCTTTGTGTGCGGCCAGTGTCGGGGGCAGCCAGCCCAGCCCCCAGGCTGCTGCCCAGCCGGCCCAGCCTCGCCGCCACTCGCCTGCCGTGGCTGCTCTCCTGTCCCACCTTCCTCCGCCGGTACCCTCTCCCGAAGCCTTCAGAGCTTCCCCAAGCTCAGTGTGTGTGCCCAAAGCCACCCCAGGATCCCTGTCCCCTCCCCAGTTCTACTCCTCCCGGGAGCCCTGCCTTGGCTGTGGCCTCCCATCGTGGATCCCAACCCAGAAGCCAGTGTCTGTTCAGGCCCTGCCCGTTTTGCCTCCTAACATCCCTTCTCCCCACCCCTCCCACACCGCAGCTGTCCCCTCCCTGGGCTTCCTGCCTCTACACTGCAAACCCTCAGGTCAACTCCTGCTTAAAAGCCAAGGGAGCTCCCAGTGAACGACAGCCAGTGATGTCTCCCTGGCAGGGGCTGGCCGCAGTGTGCACTGGGGCTCGGGAAAGGCTGGACCGGGGCCATGGGAGCCCCTCTGGTTAGGGCAATTAATTCTCCAGGCTAAAGAGCCAGAGAACACAAAGCAGCAGAAAAGTGTGTGCACGCCTGTGTACATGAGTGTGCACACATGTTCACACAAGTGTGTGTGCGTGCACATGTGTGCAATGCAGCAGTGACCGCAACCCAGCCGTTTATTCTCATGTGCTCTGGGCATAAGACTGCCCATCTGAGGAATGGCTCCCCTCCCATCTGCTTCTTTCTGCCTTACCCGCCCCTCCCTCTGTCCCTTCCCGTAGCCCACCAAGCACAACCTCTTCGCCTCCCTGGACTCTGTGCTCCAAGTCATCAGCTTCCCACCATGTGCCCTGTGCTGGCCTGCTGGGGTCCTGCCCTTGCTCATGCTGTCCCCATAACCTGCACTGCTGTCTCCAGGCCTGCCCTTGGGCCACATCCTGCATGACCTACAGGTGCCTCTTCTCCAGCGGGCTCTCTTTGCTTATTCCCGCCTATGCTCGAGGCTCAGAGTCATCCATGGAGCCCCATTTTCACGCTGTCCTGCACTCTCCTATTATGGTCCTTCTGGTCGTATTTCCAGCCACTTCCTGGCAGGCAGTGACCCCTTTAGAGCCTCTTTGGAACCCAGCACTGACTGGACAGCAAATGGAATCTCCACGAAGACTTGCTAAAGTGCATGAGAGGTTTTCAAAACATTTTCCATCTTTTCCTGACTATAAAATTAATTTACATACCTCCCCCCAAAGTTCAGAGGTATTGAAAAATATAGTTAAAATAAAGATCACTGTTAAATTCATCAACCAGTAATCATCACGTTTACATTTTGGTGTAAATACACGCAGACTTTGTTTTAGTAACTTGTATGTTCAGTTTCATCAGCCTGGGCTGCTAAATAAGCTTAACATCTCCTTTTGTAAAATCCAAAAGGAAAGCCTCTGACTTTTAATTAGTGATTTTAACCTGTTCACATTTATTGTGATTACTGACATGTTGGGACTTACAATATATTTTCTTGTTTACTATATTTTCCCTCTAAATCTTTGTTTCCTTGTTCCTATTTTCTACTGAATCTGTTGAGTCTTCTTGTTGTATTTTTCTGCTGTCTTGGGTTGTCAGTTGTATGTTTTGTTTCTGTTATTCTTATATTTGAACACACAAACTAGGGGCTATTTTATACCACCTCCTCCTCCATTCTCCCTCTCAATAGATGGCCTCCCTTCTTATTTGGCTAAGAAAATAGAAGCCATCAGAAGCCAGCAGTCTAATTCTCGCACCAGCCCACCCGCCTCAGTGCCCCCACATCTGTCTCCCCTGCCCCGTTCTCTCTCCCCACACCATCCCCTCACTGTGCGCCTGCAGCCTCCCCCTTCGCCTGCTCAAGTCTCTCTTCTCCCTCTGGCCGTCATTCCCCCTCTCTACTGGGTAACGCCCATCAGGGTAGAAATACGCCATTTTTCCCTCCAGTCCTTCCTGTGAATCCCTTTCCCGCTTCAGCTTCTGCCCACCTTCTTTGCTTCCGTCTGCAGCGAGATTCTATGAAAGGATCACTGACACTTATCTCCAGTTTCTCTCTTCCCATTCGTTACGGGATTCATGCCGATCAACTTTTTGCCCCGTCCCACTGTCACCAGTGGCCTCCACGCTGCTAGACTCGGTGACATTTTCAGTGCTCATCAGTCTCTGATCCTTCTCCCCCCGAAGACGCCTTCTTCCCTGGGCCCCGAGGACTCCCCTGGTTCTCCTCGGTCTCCTTGGCCTGTTCCTCCTCTTCTCCCCCAACCCTTCATGGTGGGCGTCACAGGGCTCAGTCCTTGGCCTTCTGCTCTGTCATCTGGTCCGTTCACATCTTCAGCCTGGACCTCTTCTTGGAATACTGCACTTTCAATCCAACCGCCTGGTGTTAGGTGGCCAGTGAACTCTCACTCTCCGCACGGCTGGAGCTGAGTGCCCCCAAAAGGGCTTCTCCTCCAACGTCCCCATGTCTGTCTTTGGGAACTCCATCCACCCAGTCGCTCGGGACGATACTCTGGAGCCATCTCTGACTCTTCTCTTCCCTTCTCACCCCACACTGTTGCCCAGGACACCCCGCTGGCTCTGCCTTCAAAACCTGCCCACGACATGCTCACCTCTCACCTCCTCCCCTGCCACCGCCTCGGCCTAAGCCACCATCGCGCGTCCCCTGGATTATTGCAGTGGCCTCTTCATTGGCCTCCCTGCTTCCTACTGTGAGCCCTTATAGTCCACCTTCCACGCACAGATGGAGGGATTCCCGTTTTACGTCAGTCAGACCACGCGCTTCTGTGCTCAAAACCTGCCAGCGTCTCCTCATCTAACTCAGAGTAGAAGCCAAAGTCTTCACAAGGACCCGCCCTCAATTACCTCTCCCGGCTCATCTCCACCTGCCCTCACCCCCACCCACTGCAGCCCCACGGCCTCCTTGCTGTCCCTCGGATGTGCCAGGTGCGTCTCTGCCGCAGGGTCTTTGAACATGCTGTTCCTCCTGCTGGGAGCCCTCGTCTCCCAGTGACCCCCGCGGCTCACTTCCTTCAAGTTTTTGTTAAGCGGTCCCGTTCTCAGTGAGGACTCCCATGACGCCCTACTTAAACTTTAGCTGCCCCCACCCCTGGCACCCCTAGTTCTTTCTCCTGCTTCTCTTTTCTTCATTGCACTCACCACCATCTATCACAGTGCGTATTTTACTTATTTATTTTGTTTTTGTCTAGCTTCCCACCACTAGAAGCTTCTCGAACATGGAGACTATGGCTATTTTGTCTGCCGCTGTATCCCCATCGCCTGGAGAAATGTAAGTGCCCGATAAGTATGGGCCGAATGAAAGAGTGAGCAGACACTTACGCTGCATGACGCCAACACGGGCCAGAGTCCACGGAGTCAACATCCTTCCTGTGGGAGACACTCGGCTCCCGTGTCCGGCTCGCCCGTCTGCTCTGAGGTTGAATCCACTCTGCTCTTTGGCCCTTCTGTGAAGATTTTTATTGCCCAAATCATGGGCATCATAATTTCAGAATTTATAATTTTCGTCTCAGAATCACTGTTTGGTTCTTTTTATAACTGCCTGTTCTTGTTTCCTAGTTTCCATTTCTTGTCTCATGGGTGGAATCATCTCCTGTACCTCTCGGAGGACAGGAAATGCCCTTTTCTTGTTAACGTGGAGACTCCCTCCTTGAGCAGATTTTACTGAGTGTCGATGACGTGCCAGGCGCTGCTCCAGGCCCTGGGGGAGCGGCAGAGGAAAGAGCTAATCCCTTGCCCTTACCTCGCGGCCTGCGGAAAGACACGCCGTGGGGGAGGGAAACAGGACCAAAGGGGTGAAGGGGGTCCCCTTGCTGGAGGGCTCAGCATCGCTCCCCGCCTAAAGCCAGGCTTGATGCGTATCAGGCATTGTCACTGGTAAGGTGGCCTCATTTCTGAAAACGGGCACAGGCAAACTGTTGGTCAACACGGTTGTCTTGGACTTGGGGGTGCACTGTGGACATCTTTCTGGCTGGATCTTAGAGCAGGTTTTTTGTGATTCTTCCCAGCCCCCTATGTCCTGTGGTGACAGCAGCTGCCCCTGGGCCCAGGCCAGGCAGGAGAAAGGGCAGGCAGGAGAGCTTACTGTCCGTGACTCAGCAAGGTCCACAGGCCAGCGGGTGGCGGGTCCAGGCTGGTGGCGTGAGAAGGCGGCAGCCAAGTGGGCTGGGTTTGCTCAGTGAGCCTGGCGCCCCTTACCCCTCAAGGTCCCCCGGAGCTCGGAAATCTATTATGGAAGGATCAGAACCTCCATCTCCTCCCTCCCTTCCTCTCTGTGGGCTGGGGTCTTTGGGATAGGTCAGCATTCCTAGGAAGAAGCTCTGGGCAGGTCCCTTTGAAGGGGTCTGCCAGCCTCCAGCTTGTCTCCAT